CGGCGTGTGTTGGGCTGCGGGCGAGCGGGGGGCATCAGCGCCCACACGGCCCCCGGGTGCCCAGGGGAAGGGGACAGGGACGGGGATGGGGATGTGATGGGGATGGGGAAGGGGGTGGGGATGGGGATGATGAGGAGGATGAGGACCAGTGTTGGGATGGAGATGAGTATGGCAATGGATCGGGTGTGGGGATTGGGAATGAGTTTTAGGACGGGGTTTGGGGGTGAGGATGAGGCTGGAGGATTGGGATGAGGACAGGGATGGAGATGAGGACAGGACTTGGGGTGGAGATGAGGATGGGGATGGGGACAGGGAGGTGCGGTACCGTTGGGGTCAGTGAGCCCCCAGCCAGTGGTGACGCAGGTCATGCCCCCTGGGAAGTCGTCAGTGGCCTGGGGCAGGCAGACGGGGGACACACTGGCCGACAGCCGCGCCGGGGTGGCCAGTTTGAGCAGGGTGATGTCATCGCGGATGGTCAGCATGTTGAACCTGGGGTTCTTGAAGACCTGGAGCAGGGGGCACCGCTCCCAGCGCCCGCACCCCCAGCCAGGGTGCCGGGCACCGGGGACTCCACAGGGTCTGATGGGGACTGATGGGGATCCCAGGGACCGACAGCGACCCTGGGGACTGACGGGGGCCCCCGGGGAATCGCCCTGTGGGTGCCAGGCTGACGGGGCCCCTGGGGTGCAGATCCCAGCCCCAAGGGCACAGAGGAGCAGGGACGCAGTGGGGACTCATGGGGATCCCAGGGAGCAGACCCAAAGCCCTGGGCTGAAAGGGACCTGGGGAGCAGATCCCAACCTAGGGACAGAAGGGTGGCAGGGACACCCCAGGGCCGCCCCAAGGAGCAGGGACACCAGCGGGGACAAGACGCCAAGAGCTGGGCTGAAGGGGACCTGGGGAGCAAACCCTTGCCCCTGAGGCATGGGGCAATGGGGACACTCCAGGGACCAGGAGCACCAAGAGGGAGTCAGGGGGACCCCGGGGGCGGCAAACTCCAAATCCCCAGCTGAGCTGCACCCAGGGAGCAGGTGACAACCCCAGGCACCAATGGGTGCCAGGGACCAGACCCCAATCCTCAGGATGACAGATCTACCAACGAGCCCATGTTCCACCCAGAGATGCCGATGGCTGGAGACCTTGGGGCTGCTCAGGACCCCCCCCAGGGCAGGTCCCTGACCCCCATCCCTTGCAGTCCTCGGGATGGGATCCTGACCCCCGGGATGAGGGGGAGCAGGGACACCCCAGGGGACCCAAGCCTCAGGCTAAGGGGACCAGGGACTCCCTGGGGACCCAACCCCCACGACAAGAGTGACCCAGACCCACAGGGCTCCCCGTGGTGGCCATGGCACCAGTACCTTCTCAATGGTCAGCCTCTGTTCGTCAGGGGAGGGCGACAGCTGGTCGTACGCACCCACCACCACGGTGTCAGTGGTCCTGGGCACGGGCAGGCACTGAGCACCGGGCACTGACACGGGGATAGGGGCTTCCTTGGGGACCCCATGCCCATGCCCAGCCCCGGGCCGGCTGGCGTAGAGCCAGTGCCTACCTGACGCCACAGTGGGCAGCAGTGACCACCCAGTTC